CAACCAACCCACTGTCATGGAGTCACTGCTGACTTATAGTAACCCTCTCTCTGTAGGGTTTTCGAGACTATAAATTCTTTACCGGAGCAGAAAACCTCATCTCTCTCCCTGAAGTGGCTTATGTTGTGGTTAGCATTTCACACAATACTTACCCTTCCTCACCAGTAGGACTTCTTAGCTCCCACATGTTGTTGTTAAGTGCTGGTGGGTCAATTCCAACTCATAGTGACGCTGTATAAGGTTTCCGAGGTGCAGCTGGTGAGTTTGAACTGCTGATCTTGCAATTAGCAGTCCAGTACTTATCCTATGGTGCCACCAGGTGAATACATTGTCTTCAGAAGCCACACCTGTTACCTTTGAGCTGATGCTGACTCATCGTGCCCCCTATAGGATAGAGTAGAACTGCCTCCGAAGTTCAAGGCTATAATCTTTACAGAAGCACACTGCCACATTTTTTCCCCCGTGGAGCAGATGGAGGTTCAAACCACTGGCATTTTGGCTAGCAGTCGCGTGTTTAACCACTATACCACCAGGGCTCCTGTTACAGCATCTGTAGGGTCTTTCATGTGTCTATATCTCTGGGCTTTAGATGTGTGTGAATACAAATGTTGGTAGCTGTCTAGTCAGGCCCGACCCTTGGCAACCCTGTGGCCATCCACGCCTGCTCGCTTGTGGGGTCAGAGGTAGTGGTGCATGAGTAGATGAACTAGATCTTTATTCTAAGTAACGTACCCCTGGAAACTTTTGTAGATGAGAGTATTGTAGATATAAGAATATTGTACTTCCAGGATTTCTGTAACACTTTCCTTTAAAACTGAATGGTTCTTTTTTTTGTTTTATAAAGTTAGGTTTTATGTTTATGTGGTGGCCCTGCGTTTCTATCTAGCATTTTTGAAAATGTTTAAGTGTATTTTACCAAAGACCCTGAGCATGTTATCAGGAGGCACCAGCCTTTCATGTTAGTGGTGAAAAAGAGGAAGAGCTTCACACTGACACAGTAGCTGCAACAGTGGGCTCAGAAGTAACTAATCTGAGGATGGCGCTAGATCAGGCAGTGCTTCCTTCTGCTGTACACAGGGTCGCTATGAGTCGGAACCCAACTGATGGTACCTAACAATGGTGTCCCCTTAGGCACTTTTCTACTGCTGTAGTAATTGCTGATACGTTTTCTACACTGCTATGAGGGCTTCAAAAATTCATGGAAAAATGAAATGAAAAGATAATGACATTTTCCACGGACTTTGGAATAAGCCCCCATGTTAAAATGGCACACCTCCATACTGAGTAGCAGTTAGTCAATATTTACTGAAGGAATGAATATATAAACCAACCATTTAATGTATTTGCATAGGAGTATGGAATCTTGTGAAAACAATGCTTTGTTATTTTACTTGTGGTTTTACTCCAATATTTTCTCTTGATTCATTACAGAATGGAAAGATGGAATTTTACTTATTATGTATGATTCCATAATTGTAATTTTGTGCTGAGTGCTCCAAATGTCAAAGGGTAATGTGGGGCATTTAGACCACAGTAGATTTAAAATTTACCATTTTCAATTAGGTCCCTCAAAGTTCTGGAACACAGGCTCCTGCCCAGAGCGATGTCCTACCATATACAATGCTGTTGGCATCTCAACCACTGTGAAGCCACTTCAGGAGCATGGAATTGGTCAATTGGGAATTGGGTGGTAATAGGATGAGTACATTTTGTCTGTTTGTCACATGGCACTGTTTGTGTAGTTCTTTTGATTATATTATTTGTTTTTGGGGGATGAACCCTGGCCAAACTGCCATATATTAGGAAAAGAAAATATCTGTTTTGACAGTACATTCCTGCTCTGTGGTTGTTGGGATATCACCAGCATATATGGCATGCTGACCTCTCTCCAAAGGGGCTAGAGGGCTGAGTCTCAGAGAAATCTCCAGGTACAGACGGGAACGACACCTGCTCTTTTAATAGCTTATTTTGGCACATCTTTGTATGTCACTCATATTAGACAGTTGTGTAATTTTCCTTTGAAGGGAAAACAAACTTGTAAGGTTTTTTTAATGCCTGTTTTTGACCCCTCATGTAAATCATGTTAAATGAAGACTTTATATTAGTGGCATGGGGAGATAATCAGCGTATTTGATACTTAGTTTCGATTTTAAAACTTTTTAGTTTAACCTGCATTTGTTCTGTTCTGTCCTTAGACAAGTTGGCATTAAGAATGGAATGTTTTTTGGACATGCCAAGCAGCTGTGTCCATCTCTTCAAGCTGTCCCATATGATTTTCATGCTTATAAGGAAGTTGCACGAACAATGTATGAAACGCTGGCAAGGTACAGTTATGCTATTATCAGTTCTGTATCTATGTTGCTCTTTAGCTGATAGACGAGAGGATTCTATTTGATTTAAGAATGTCAGGGTGACTATTGCTAGACGTGTACCTGTTTTAGGAACGCTTTTCTCAGCAGCCCAGTTTGACAGCCTTCCATCCTTTCTTGGAGCACTTGCAGTAATCATTAGCTCCCATTTCAAGGGGACATTGTTTCTCTGCGAAAATTGAACTGCTTCCAGGTGCCCATGGAAAATCTGTTGTTTTTCCCATATTAACTTTGAATCACTGATAATAGTTTTTCCCCATGGAACCAGATTTAAATAAAATTTCTTTTTATTAACCACTACATTTGAATTATAGTCTTGTTTAAAGCTAGAAATGATGAATTAATAAGGAGTTATTAAGTGCTGTCGAGTCAGTTCCAACTCATAACAACCCTGTATAGGGTATTTGAGGAGCAGCTGGTGAGTTTAGACTACACACCTTCTTCACATTCCA